AGGGGGGGGGGCAAGACTGATCCTTGCCTTTTAAGAGCCTCTTGGAATGGAAATATTATGTGAAACATCTGACAACCACACCGCGGCCTTCTAACGCGACTCGACTCTAATCGCCACTAAGATTGCACTGTGGTGGTAAAAAGGGGAAAATAAGCAGTTTTCGGGGACAGTGACTTGCATTTCTTAATGAAGAAAAACCAAGACGCTTCGGTCTAAGACAGGGGCCCCTCAACTTTGGCAACTTTTAAGACTTGTGGACTTCAACTCCCAGGATTCCTCAGTCAAAGTTGCCAAGGTTGAGGACCCCTGATCTCTAAGATAAGCCGGGCTTACTACGCTCTCTACGCTCTTGCAGAGCAAGAATTGACAGAGGTCACCTACGGGTTTGCCAGGAAAAAAAAGGCCATACAGCATTCTGCCCTCCTCGACCGCCTGGCGAAATCCGTCCCGGGGCGCAAGATTAGGGGGTACAGTTTACACGCGTTCCAATTATTCGGACCCCGTTGTGTCCTGGGCGCTTGCCCGCGATCCTCGAACGGTTCCCCCCTTAAAGACGAAGGGATCAGCTGCACGAAGCACGGTCGTGGAAAATTGGGGAAGGCTGTTGTTTTTTTTTTTAGACAACAGAAATAACTAACCCAGCCAAGATATTTCAAAAGAAAAATAGCAGCGGGGGAGTTGGGAGAAGGTGCTTCCCGGCCAATTAACGGGCTCGAGTAGCGCCCGTTCCTTTCCAAGTGCATTCAGTGCGAGTACAGGAAAAGTTCACGCTCCAGAGAAATGCGAGGAGGGCACAAGTGGGAATCGGGGAAAAAGAAAACAAGGCGCAGGGCCTCGATTTTGCACGATGCACCCGGTTCCGAGTGATTGAAGAAAAAAAAGAAAGAAATTAAACCAAGAGGCGAGAAACCGGAGTCCTCCTTTACTAAAAGAAAGGGGTGGGGAAAGACTCAGGCAAGTGAAGGTTGTCCCACTAATAAAATACCTATCAACAGGTGCGAGCCCATGAAGTGATTGGCGGGAGGTTTTTAAGTCAGACTATTCCGGATCTGGGCACGTTTCTTCTTAGTTAGACTCGCACTTCCGCATTTCAGGAGGAGGCCCAGCAACCCTCCAAAAATGAAGAATACCGAACGACTGCACAAGGCTAGTTTTGGAGAAAGCGACGACGCTTTTCAGATACATTTTTTTCCCCCTTTGGAGAAGCCCCTCCGCCGGATTTGTCCAGGCACGTTGGGTTTATTAACAGCCTTAACTCATCTGACAAGGTTCTATTTAACGCCTTGGCGGGTCGCTGATTAGACACGTGTATTTGTAGTCGTTAGGAGATCGGTGTGAGTTTATGCGAGGTCCACGTAGACTAGCAGGTATCAGAATTAAAACGCTATGGGCAACTCTTTTTTGAATTGGTATTCAGTATAGTATTCCCTTTTCAGTTCTTGCATCTAGAAGCTCGATTGTCAATATAGATGGGCATTTATTTCTGAAACCTAGAATAATGTCCCTTCTGGCTCGCCTCAATTTAAAGTTTACATCACGCCCCGCTCGTCAAATTAAGAGGAACAAAGCAAGGGTCCGCAGCGGAATGATTCATTGCTTGTTAGGGAAGTGCGGCTTCCGTTACAAGAAGTCTTGGTTTAGTCTTAACCAAATTGCAAATACTAGACACTCACCAGCTTTGGGATACAATTCTCAGATATTTTTATAGATGGGCAATTGGAAGGTGTGGGCGTTAATTGTTTTGTTACAAATTCAAGAGGCAGAAAAACATGCTCTAGACCTGTGGAATTGGATCCTCACATCAATCAAAAGCCTATATTTTTTGCAGTTCAATCACTCATTTTTTATTAGTGTCATTATGTACATTTTGCTTTCTCCAAGTTGATGTAGGCTAAAGTCTCTGAGTTGTCAATGAAGTGCCTATGGAGGCAGAGTACTTTTAAAGTGAACTTTTCTTTCTCTTTGATTTTTTTGAACATAGAGGGAGGAGAGCAACGTTTTGGTATATGAAATAAAAGGAGTTAATGTTCACTGCTTAACATAGTTCCAAAAAATTGTTAACATATTTAGGAAATACATTTCATTTAGCTTTTGAAAATTACTTTGTAAGGAACTTCTAAATTTCCAATTAAGACTCAAATTTTAACTCAATAGTCTTTAAATTGATTACAGGAAATCTGATCTGCTTTTAGATCCCACAAGTCTGTCTGGAATTGAGATACACAAAGGGCATGTGGCAACTGTGTTGCAGTTACTACTTCATTTGCACGTCTGTCCTAGATATTAAGATGAAAGAGTTTAAATATGACAATCAGTTATAGAGATCCCAGTTCTGCTGTTTAACAGTCTTGGAGATAATAATTCATTTTGATGTCACTGTCAGCTGGAGGAAGGGTAGGGAAACCTTTTGACTTGGCATGAAATCTTTTGATCTGATCCGTTTTCCCTTGAAATATTTTCCAAGATAATTAGTTATGTATGCCATAACTTGTTCTCCAAGAACCTCTTGGCATGAAATCTTTGATCTCTCCTGTTGGGCTGGTGGCTGATTGTTATCCCTGAAGGTACTGATATAGCAAGAAACCCCACTGCATCCAGTGACTGCTCTAAATATTGTCTGCTTTGGATAGAGGTGTTATGATCTCAAGATCAGGTTGTTTGGGTTGAATGCATCAAGGTTAAGTAAAAAGGAGACTGTAATCCTCCACTGGCCAATTGCCATGATCTCTTCAAGGTCTGCTGATTGTTGGGATGCTTGCCCTTAATAGAAAACTAAGTGGGCTTTCCTAGCATCCCTCCTGGCACTATGTACTTAGGCAAAAGTGCATCTTCATAAGGCTTCACAGATGGTGTTGACTATGAAGAGCTAAAGTTCAAAGTATACGTTGCTGCCTTACATAGTTAAAAAGAAAAAAAAATGTTTTACAGTACACTGGATCAGTTTAGTATAAATTTCAAAACAGTAAAATAAAATCTAGACTTGGTGCAGATGATATTGGCACTATATGAAATTGCAATACAAGCCTGTGCATGGAAGTGACCCTGTTGCGTTGGCAGGATACCCTCAATATAGTTTGGACCTCATATATCTTAAGGTAACATTGACAAAATCATTCTGACAAAATAGCATGCATAAGGTTGTGCTGTAAAATTGCAAAGTTTGTTTCCCACAGGAGGAAGCAATCTCAGTGAACTGAGTAGAATTTATTTCACAAAACATTTTGGGAATGGTTTTTCTGGGTGGCAATACACATTTGTTGGTAAATCTCATCGATTCCCATAGCACTTTCCTACATACATGAACGGGAACGGGTTCCTTGGAAATAAGATCTGCTGAAAGACATCAGAAGATTTGACTAATTCTTTTTTTGCAGCCGTTTCTTACCCCCTAGCCCAAATCACAAATGCTTGACACACAGCACAAACGACTAGAAGTCAGTGGTAAAACTCAAGAGCAGCAACTTGCACTTTTAGCTTGCAAAAACAGCCGTAGGACTAAGTCCCATGGTTATCAGTAGATCTTTCTTGTGATTAAGCGCTCATAAATGGCATGGCTGCAGCCCTAAAGTTTCTGAGGCTTTATTTGGAATCCTCCCTCGAGATTCTATCTTCCCGAATGAATGGGGAGGTTGGCTGTCCGCTGCAAAAGGTGACACAAAAATCCCACACACACACACCCGCCCCCCGGGCAATATGAGACCGCGATCATAGCTGTGCAGCGATCTCTCCCCGATTCCTCGTTTCCCACCGTCCTACCTTGAAGGCGATCGGCAGAGTCTTGTTGCACCTCCAATGGGTCGGCAGGACAGAGCAGAGGAAGTTGGGACTGTCGGTGCGGACCAGTTCTCCCGGATGATCGGCTAAGACATCCACCATGCTGCGGTCTGCGCTTCTCAGCTTCCCCACCAGGGCGCTGCCGCCGTTCTCTTGGCCGACCAGCGGCAGCGCGTCGCTCATCTTGCCCGGGCTCAGAGTGGTGGAGGGCGGCGTGAAGCGGCGGCTGGTGCTGGTATCTACGGGGATACGCATCACAACAAGCCTTTTGAGTGAAAAAGGTCCTCAGAGGGCTTCGGATAAAGCGGTACGAGCACAACTCTTCAGCCGGAGCTTCTCGGGAGACCAACATAAAAAGAAAGAGGCTTAGGGTCCCGGTGCAGAAGGGGCAAACGAAGCGCGGCCAGTCCAGGGGCGAATTTGGACTAGCAGGACAGGGCAGGGGGACGCCGGGGCTCCTGGTCCTGCCAGAATTAACGCCAGCATCCAGTTTCAGGCTGCTCTTTCTCTGGAAATCTAGGCGTGCTCTTTAAAAAAAACTAAAAAAACGGCCTTATAGATTCGGACACGTTGCTCTCCACCCCCCTCGGGGAATGACCAGTGTTATTAAAAAAAATCAAAGGTCCTTCCGAAATCCCCCACGCCGAGCAACGTTTTGAGCAGAGGCAACGTTTGAAACAAAACAACTCCCCGCCACGCATCCCCACGGGCCAAAAAGGAGGGAAGGACCTAGGCTTTTCAGTAGTTAATTTTCCTATTTGTCGAAGTTCATATTCTTCCCCTCCCGCTGCTCCTTAAATGGCCGTCTAGAATTCAGATCAACGCATCAGTCTCTTGTCGCAAAGGTGGATTGGGGGGGGGGGGGGAGAAGGGAGAAAAGCGGTTTAAAAGAAACCAGGCTGCAAAGGACGTGAGCTGAGGTTTTCAAAGGTCAAGCGGCTATCACAGCATTATATAGTGTACTTCATCAAATATTTACTGCTGACTCTATAGAGAATTTAAACACAACACAACTCCATTAATGTTCTCCAGCAGCGTCCTTCTCCCCCCCCACCCCCACCCCCAGCCAGAGCAGCCTTGAACCCCTAGTGTGAGTAGTTTGCCTCGCGTTGCTCTTTAAGTCTTGCTGTCCCGGTTTCGCAATGCTTTTGACTAAACTACTTAAGAGAGGCTGCAAAAGACTCTTGTACAAGTCCTGAGATGTCAGTGTGCCAACAATCTGAAACGCGCCCGGAGGGGAGGGAGAAGAAGAAAAAAAAAAAAAAACACAACCCCTTTTGGGTTGGAGTTGCTGGTCGGGTTGTGGGTTCTTTTCTGTGGTTAATATTCGCAGCGATTTTAGAAAGACACACGAGTCTGAAGTCACCCAACCCTCTGCGGCCGCTGCGTGAGTCACTGCCAACTGTGGAGGGAAAATATCTGAAGTAATATTCCTCCAGTTCACCCACAGGGGCCGGCTTCCTCAGCTAGGGTTTAACCGCAAGCAGGTGGAGCTCTGCTTTCGGGACCGCCGTTGGTTTTCCCCTCATTTCTCAGTCCTCCCCTTCGCGCGCTCTCCTTCAACTTCACAAACGGAACCCTTAACCCGAGGGCTAAGTAAGTAGTACGGGTCTTCTCTCAGACAGGGCTAGTAGCAGCACACGCGGTGGCCAGACGAAACAAAACGCCGTTCCTACAGCAAAGAGCGAGACGAGTCCCCCGCGAAGTGCGAATCGGCCAAACACCGGAGCTTCCTCCGGGCAGAATCCGCGATCCCGAAGCAGGAAAAAAAAAAAAAGTGTTCGCGCGTTCACCAGACTCCAACGGCGAGCTTTCCCGAGGTCTGCTCCCCGTACAGGCCAGTCTCTCCAGCTGTGTGTGACCTTCTGCGAGGCGCTGTTTGTTTGCTCATGCTGATCTGAAAGAAAGCCTCGCTCCCCCCTCCTCCTCCTCCTCCTCCTCCCCCCCTCCCTCGCGCCTTCTGGCCCTATGAATGGAGATGACTGGAAATGAATTTGCTGTTACAGTAAGAGAGTCCGGAGGAATGTCATTCCCTCAGCTCTTTTGCATAGGGGAGGACGCCGCCCAATCAGAACGCTTTCCGGTATTAAGCAGGGCGCGGCTCCAAGCCGCGGGGCTCCTGGAATTGGCTTGTGCGCCGCCGCAAAAAGCTACTGTAAAAGCCCCAAACAGGCCCCGCGTCTCAATGGGACGCCGCGGTCAACGGGAGGCTTAGACCCAAAAACGTGTGTGGCGGCGGCTGTGCTTGTGTCGGGGCTGTGGGGAAAGGCGGGCGAGGGGCAGAGGTGGGGCGGAGAAGGGCGCGCGCAGTCCTCCTCCTCCCCCTGCGCGCACGGCTCCTGGAGGGATCAATCAAAGGTCGCGAAAGTAGCTCTTAAGGAGCTCAGTCGTTTGAACGGTTTGGCGAACAAGCGCGCACCGCCCAAGGCAGGTCCCCTCAGAGTCGACGGCCGTGCAGAATCTCCCCAGAGGCTCTCTTAAGTGGAGCCGCGGGCCGGTTCCACTCGCGACTGAGCTGCTTCAGTCCCCCGTAACTGCCAGAGCTGAGAGAGAAGAAGGAAGCGTGCCTGGCTGCGAGCAAACGAACAGCTGTTGTATTTATGCCATAGATACACGTGTTAAGAAAGCTTGCAGCCCTTCTCTCCACACATGAGAGCATCAGGTGGTAAAAAAAGTGAAAAGGCCACTCCAGGAAAAGGATAACTTTTCTCTTCCCATCTTCCCAAGCCATTTTATTTTGGCTTCATCCGCCTATATAAAAACCAAGGAAATTTATGTGCGACACTGGGCAACATAAAGGTACAGTTCAGGATGTCCGTGGAAGAGAGATTTACCTAAGATATTTATTCCTGCTATACAGCTCCTACAACTAATAGCAAGCCTTTAAGAGGGGAAACTTCACACTCTTCCAATCTATCATGCATTTCTACTCATTTCAGGATCCTTTTGAAAATACAAATTCCCACCTTAACCAAAGCCTCACATCTCTGGAGATTACAGGCTCATCCTCAAATTTCCCTGACTATAATATGAATGTGTCTTGCTACTTTTTTTTTTAAAAAAAATGTCATGTCTTGGTGACATGTATCTCATCTCAAGCCCACAGCTGAAGCATCTTAAAGTTGCCCATAGCTGATCCAGTTTTAAAGTTAATGCTTTCCCTCTTCTGGCATATGTTTTTGCCACAAATACAGTATAGCATATTTCATCAACAATTTTACTGCTGATGAAATCATACTGAAATCTACAGAGTTCCTGTTGGGCAGTTTAGACTTCAGTCGACACTGAAATCTGCTCCCAATGGTGATTTTAGTTGGGATGTTGGAGAGACTGTTGTTGTTAGTTGCAAAGTTGTGTCCGACCCATGGTGACCCCATGGACAGGAGAGACTAGGGAACTGGTTTTCTCAGAGACATCTGCCCATCTAATGCTTGATTGGTACTTTCCAGTGCCTTTTTCAGATCTTACATGGGCTTTTTATAAACAAGAGTTTACATCTCTTTTGAAAAAGTGCTAGGCCTTTTTTAAAAGAAGCAAACAAAACAATGCTTTCTTGAAGAATGCTTGTCCTGTGTGCTGCATTGGTTGATTCTGATAAAAAAAGAGCTCAGTTTTACCAGCTGTGGTGTTGATTCTGTCACCATTGGTACAAGTTTCCTGCTGGTCCTGCAACAAAGGATTTCATATAGTTCTGCTTTTTTTTTTACTATTTTTATTAGTCTGCTTGGAAAGGAGAAGGTTTATTGTGACCATTCTATTTTGGATCCTTTGCTGTCTTTGGGGCAGATCTGGATTTGCTGCCAGCACTGCCATTCCTTTGGTCACTATGGATTGATCCTTCACATTTCATCCTATGCTCTTCAAATTCTGTCATTCTGGCTATTTTGGAGCATGCCTTCAGTTTTTTAGAAGAGCAATAAAGCCATGTTCAGAAGTAGCCCCATGGTGCATCTTCTTCACATCTGTGACCAGTAGCTAGGCCTTCTCTTATAGTTACACAAACCCAGGGTAAGGCAGAATGATTGGTGATTGTTTTCCTACTTCAGATGATGTATCGTAGATGGGAAAATAAACTCATGAAAATTTACCAGTCACTTTCCTTGATTTGCCTGGCAGTGGAGCATGGCAATCCATGCAGCAAATTTCATGCCAATATATTTTTCTGCATGCTCAAGGATGATGGACACTACTTTAATGCAACAGTCTGGCTGTCCCATATATTCAAATGCTAGGTAATTGACTCCATTCTGTGTTCCTCTGGAGGCATACAAAGTACCTTGCAAAATTTGATCAGAGTCTGTAAGCATTGAGACATGTTGTGGCTCAGTTATAAAGATAATGTTATTTTCTTAGTTCTTCAGAAAGTCGGGCCTCATTCCAAAAGCTTTTGGCCCAGAACAGAAAGTCATATGTTTTCCAGTCCTTCTCCCTTTTCAGAACATTGAGAACCAAAGCACACAATAAGTGATTCTGAGTTGAGCTTAGTTTTTTGGGGGGAAAATTCTGATCCCTCTTAGGGTATCCCTCTTTTCTGTACCTTAAAGCAATGGTCCCCAACCTTTTGGGCATCAGGCACCAGTTCCATGGAGAAAGGTTTTTCCACGGGCCAGAGAAGGTATGGTTTTGCATACTGCCTGTATTCCACAGATGGGGCTTTGCTTGTTTGCGCTGCCCAGTTGCTGACATGCCACGGACCAGTGACAGTTCATAAACTGGGGGTTGGGGACCTCTGCCTTAACGTACAGATGCCCACCACACTATCTAGTTTCTAGCTGTGAGTGAAAGATGCAGGATAACAAATGTATACGGCAACCTGTGGAAGTGAGAAATGCATTTTTTTTTTAAAAAAATAGCTCAATATGAGTATCCAGGTTTCCCAATAAGCAGGACTGCACCCCTTCAAAATTTGTCTTATTTGTCCTGTAGCCTAGCAGTTGCATGTTGTTTGATTCTATAGTTTTACAAGTTTACATTTATTTAAGATTTTTGTTTCTCTGACAGTTCTTCTTGACACAGATAATAATTCAGGTGGGGACTTCCAGATGGAAATAATGGCAGAAATATATTGCAATAACCATCTTTTTGGTTCATCCAAATGAGTGTCCTAGTCTTTTAGAGGCATATTGTTTTATTTCTATACTGTAATATGCTGGGGGACACTTTAAAACTTTATAGAATCATTGGATTTCCATTTGTCTATGTCCTGATATCATACATCAGGGAAAGTTTATGGCCAATTGAAAGGATCAAAAATATATTATTTTTTACCATTCTTTTTAAAAACACATCCAGGT